GCATGGGCTCCTACTTCTGTGGGCCCATGAACAAGAGGCTCTTTGGGGGACTTCCTGGTCTGATTTTTATGCCAGGTTGGGGGGGGGGGAGACACATTTCTTGAGAATGTATAAAGTACTGTATCTTACCATTATGCAACCATGGCCATCTTCAAAAGATGTAAAATTAGAGAAATCTAATCTTGGCAAAGATAACCAAATTGAAATAACTCTTTTATTTCATTCATTTTTATATGCCTTTATATGGCACTAAAGTGTCCTGCTGCTGCTCTCCCAGCTGATCACAGCCCACTCCCATCATATACAGGGCAGATGGTAAAAGGGGTCAAAGATGGGCCGTTTAGCATTCTCTGAACCTTCCAGCCAACACCCACAGTTCTGCCTTGATTGAAAAATGTAAGCCAAAATTGGATTGGGAAAACCATCCAAATTAATTTAGGCAATTTGGATTTGCCATGTTTGCAGCTGCAAGGTGGTAGCTGGGCATCTTTTGTTGATAAAGCCAGTTTGATTGTACACAGTAGAGTAACAGTGCCTTTGATCTTGGCAGTCGGTGGATGATGCCAGAGATTTCTTCAAGAGGAAGATTGATTTCCTGACAAAGCAAATGGAGAAAATCCAGCCAGCACTGCAGGAGAAGCATGCAATGAAGCAAGGTAGGCCTTGGCAGCAGGCAAAGACTGAGAAATGGAGATGCTACTCCATCTGATTCTGATTATACCAATTACTGCTAAAATATTTTCCTGACTTGGTTTGGTTTCTTTTCACAGCTGTAATAGAGATGATGAGCCAAAAGATTCAGCAACTGACAGCAGCAGGTGCATCACAAGCGGTGCCAACAAAGGCCTAGCAAAGATGACTCCCTTGCCCACCTTTTGGGTTTATTATTTCGTGATGGTCAAAACATCTGGAGGGAAGCAGCATTCCCGCTGCCATGCAGCTGAAGAGGGAGGGTGGGAGGGTAAGGGGATGATCATTTTCGGTTCTGTTTAAATGAATGTGGGAGTTTAATGTTTTTGGGAACGATAACATCTTGAGGATCACATCTGCTCAACCTGTTGAGCTTTCAGATATGTGGTGAAGAAGATTGGATTGCTAGCTATTGCACCTGGGGTTTGTCTTTCATATGATGCCCCAGTGAAAATGCAGTGGCTTGTAAATGGAATTGTACAAAATAAATGGGTAGGACGACAAAACAAGTAACAATTGCATATTGACAAATGCATTGCTGCCCATAAAACAGATGTGCCCGTGGACAACCTCCCTGCTGCCCAGCAGGCTCCAAGCCCCACCTGATTTTGTTGTGTTAAGGTTCTTTTGATTTAAAAAAGGGAAGTAATCAATTTGAGTTACATTTAGTTTGAAGAATACTTCTGGGCCTTGTATGTACCCTGAAGGTACTCTTGGAAAAATAAAAATTAGAGAAAGCTGCAGACCACTCCATTGTTTAGAAGCATTCCACCTGCCAAGAAAAAAGGGAAAGGTAGGCTGTCATGGTAGAAGGCTAGATGTCTGTGGAGGGCAAGGCTGACCAGCCACCCACTCTCATTTCTCCTAAAATCTCAAAGGTGTCTTACTGGCCCAGAAAGCCTGAGGATCCCATGGTTAAGGCAGCTGGATAAGAACAAGGAATGCAATGAACTGGACAGCTGTTAGCCTCTTTCAGTTGAACAGAGGGAACATTTTGAAAGTGTTCTCTCTGCATGTACAAACACAAACAAAGAAACTTCATTTTACCGTTATTCAGGAATATTGTTTGAATCAGAGGAGGACATCACAGGGCCTTAGGCCATCTGTATCCCTTTGCATGATGGTATCATGATACAAATCACATTGTATGCATAATGGACTCATTATGCAAATAGCATATATTGATATAAAGGATATCATTTGTATGCATAGTGTAAATCACAGCAGAAATTTAGACCATATTATGTTTAGATGCCTGTTGCACCAAGAGCTAGTAAAATGAGATTTTGCTGTATTTACACGTGCACACATACTTGAAATATGAAGGAGCCTAGATCTAGGTGCCAGGGCTGAGTAGTCCTTAACACTAGGATGCCCAGCAGGATTGAACTGGCCCAGTATGGTGGAATCACTTAAGCATACTTTAAGTGAACCATAATGTGCGAACTCTGTATCTCTGTGTATTGCTTCCCCTTTATTTTCACATGCAGATAAAAGGTATAGTGCCTCCTAATGGTCAGTAGTGATAACTACTATATGATGAAGATCTATTGAGCAATGGTACCTCCCTTCTGTGTGTGACTCCCTTGAGGCTGCAATTAATGCAGGCAGTGGGCATGATCACATGATACTAAGCCAGGCCATCTCAAGTCCTAGAATGTCAGTCAAACCCAGATTTGGGGATAAAATGTAGCTAAGGCAGCACATCTTAATCCTACTGTGGCCTGTTTCATCTAAATCAAAAGAGGAGGGTTACTTTGAGTTAACAATCTCTTCCAAACTCTGGCTACGGAAATGGAAGGAAAGAGCAGTTCCCAGGGGCAACTTCATCTAGTCCTGTTTTTCTTTTTTTTGCACCCTGTGGGATGCAGGAGGAGGCGGAACAGGACCATAACCTACAATGACTCTGCTCTGACTGCAGGTCCTCCCAACCCCACCCCAAACTGTTTTTAGAAAGGCAGGAGATTATGGCTGCAAAGTACAACTGGAGAAACCTTTCGTTTGAGTTTCTGGTGCCAAATCACTGAATAACGACTTGGCCCATAGGGATGTCATGCAGCACTAAAGGAATCTGAAATGGTCCCTTTGTTGAAGTATTATCATAAGGTGATTCCTAAAGTGTTTTAAATTTTTGTAATGACACTCTAATGTCATTTTGCAAATACTTAAGAGTATCTTAAAACCAGAGAGCAAGTATTTGCAATTTTACAAATACGCATTTTTAGTTTCTTCTGGAGACAAAACATTACTATCTGACTGTCTGTCTGTCTGTCTGTCTCAAGCGTCTGTGACTCTTTCACAGGCTTGTTAATTCTGCTGCCTAAAGAAGATACTCTTGCCTTTCCTTCTTTCAAATATAGGTCAATTTTAGTGCTGTCCTTGGGCTATTAAGAGTTAATTTCTCACAACAAACATGGATCTTCTGTTTCTGGCTGAGGTAGGTAATTGCCACTGGTAGACCAAGCCAGTCTGGTTCTTTTTTTAGAATTATAATTCCATACTCAAAGACAGAATGGCTCAAACTAGCAGATGCCTGTCAAAAATGGGACACCATGTCATACTTACAAGCTTTCTTGGAATCTCTCGATTGGCCACTGTTACGGTGCATTCGGAAAGTATTCAGATCCCCTTCACTTTTTTCAATTTTACGTTGCAGCCTGATACTACAATCATTCAAATTCATTTTTTTCTCATTAATCTACACTCAGTACCCCATAATGACAAGGTAAAAACAGAATTTTAAAAATGTCTGTACATTTATTAAAAAGGAAAAACTGAATGATCACATTGGCATAAGTATTCAGACCCTTTGCAACAACACGTGAAATTTAGCTCAGGTGCCTCTTGATCATTGCTGAGCTGCTTGA